GACTGCGCCGGCTAACAGTGTAGCTATTCCATGCCGGCGATGCTACTAAAATGCTCCCATACACCGAGCGCTGCTAAGCCAAATCCCCCGATCCTGGGCTGCATACCGCTGCCAATCAGTACTAAAGGCTTGTTCAATGTACATTACCCACGTCATTGGGGCTGACGTGGATACTTAACTTTATTTTACCTTACTTTACTTTGCTTTATTTAACTTTACTCTACCTTAAGTTACTCAGCGACTAGGAAAGCTGGGAGGCTGAAATTTCGGGTATATGTTCCTATCTCGTGTATCATCCTCACGTTTTAAAACTTTCGCTCATACGCGTCTAGATTTCGGGTACGGACCCCTGAAAAAATATGCACCATTTGCCAATGAGGCACATTCACAGGCTGTCGGCAGAGTGAGCAAAAAGCCATGCTCATTCAGATTTTACTTTTGCGCACTTAAATGCCTTGCTCATCAAATTTTATTTTATTTTTTTTATTCATAAAAGAAACCCTGAAGTTTTGACAGTACTGTCAAAATGCACTGAACTGGTTAATTAAAAAGAAATAATTAATGTAATCAATAATGAAGAAGTGAGTACGGTGAAGGGACAACGTGTGGAATAAGGAGGTGGTGCTCAGCACGTATCAAGGAGATCTCGAATTGGCTAAAACCTTGCTAAAAGCTTTTGTTAGGAGGGCCAGTTCACAAGATTTCTGAATGTCAGGATTGTCAGCAGACTGCTTTATAGAAGATGAAGCTTTGGTCAAAGCAAGTTCGGCAGATAAACAAGTAAAGAACCAGATAGCGAATCATAGTGAAACCGAATACCCCCAGTATGACTATGGAGAAAAAAAGGTATTTTTCAATGCGCCTGCTGAAAAAAAAAAAAAAAAGAACTGAAAAAAATTCAATGTTTTACCTCACACAAATGGGGTCAGGCCAGCATTTCACGTCAAAGATTGTGGCAAGTGTGATTAACCCAGTTACTAGAAGTTCCGGTAAAAAACAAAAATTACCTTAGTGGAAAGCACAGATGGTATGTAACCTTGTTTATGAACCTGAATTTTATATGTTCCAGGCGGTAGCCATAAATAATAATATCCATCAACAGTTGTGGTATAGGCAGTATTACCTACTAGAAGCTTCACTGGTGCTTTTACAGGGCTACCTCTTGGTCCTTTGATAGTACCCGATAAACCTTCCATTCTCTACAAATAACACTTTTAAGCTTTTTACTTTTTTTTTGATCACAAGCGCTTTTTCGCTTTTTTTCGTAGCAAAAGACTATGCCAACGATCCTCG